AAAATTCATCTTCAGAATCAAATTCACTAAATGCTTGTAGCACAGACTTATTTGAAATAAGGCTGTCATTTCTAATTTTCAACATATCCGCCGATACTTTATACCTAACACTCACCCCATATGACATTGAACCGTGAGTGCCGTAGTATACGTCTTTTGGACAAATAAAAGATTGCGCGTTACATCTCTTATTGATAAATTTTCGATATTTGACAAATCAATGGGTCTTTTTCGATGATCAAATAGGGAAGCATAGGGTTGTATTTTAACGTACATTCAATGCTTGTCGGTGTAAGGTGGTTTAACGACGTATTCGATCTTGTTCAAATCAACAATATCGCGACTGGCTTTGTAGGCATTTATGGTATTAGACGGAATGTTAGACTTGATGGCAGCTTGAGATTCGATGAACCTATAAACAGCTACACTTATGTGATCGATTATTTCCACGGTAGGTTGTTGTATTTGATAGCAGATTTGTCGCCCAACTAAATTTTCCGGCGTTTTATCTCAAGTGCCGTATTTATACAGTGGGTTTATGCCATCACAGGGTTCGGTCGTCATAATCAAAAGGCGTTTATCTTGGCCGTTGTGGTGCTAAAAAATAGCCGAGTTGCACACATTGGCGTGTTGGCCTTCTTTAATCACGGGTTTTGAAATGATTTATTTACTCGGGTCAAAAGGGCCAAAGGTGACGTTGGGATCGCAGTTGTCGGCATTGAGACGCTCGTGGTCGTCGGTTACGATGTAGGTTTGGCTAGACATGGTTTTTATATCATTCGTTTATTTAAGGTGGTTGTAAAGTCAGTGCTTCAAGTAGGAGGGAAGAAAAGGGGAATTCCCATTTTTTGTTTGAGAGCCTCGAGTTGTTTACGTCGGGGCCAAAGGTCGAGGTGGTTTGTGGACGAGCGGTTTAGGCCTGTGCGAGAGTGGAAGCGCCGGGGTCAAAGGTCAAAGTGGGTGAAATGGGAAAGCCCCGGCGCTGGTGTGTGTGGGCGGTGAAGCATAAAAGCAGAGTGGAAAAGGGGGTTGGTCCTAAACTGTCTTCTACCTACTACTACTGTCAAAAAAGGAATCCCTGACAGATTAACCAAGAAACATGGGCGTTGGGTGTCTGAAACGGTAAAAGATATATACATTAAAAAGGCCTTACAAGAGAAACTGAAGGTTTCACAACCCTTGGGACTTTAAAGCCCACAGTACGTTAAGAATCAGTGTACCCAAACTAAACGTTTTAGATAATAATTAATCCCGTTCGTTACATGCCTGCCTGTTGGTATGCCCTCCCAAAGTTGTAACCAACTTGTGATGTGGAATGATCAAGAAATGTAATTTCGTTGGGTTGAATGGTGAATTAGAACGAAATTAAATTCTTGATTGTGGGATATCACTTCGTGAGTGATACGCGGATTAATGTATTGTGATAAGTCGCTAGAAAAGTGTAGTCTGGATCGGACAGGAATTCGCCATCTGCGTTACCGACATGCACTTGGCTCGACATATTGTCTATTGAAAAAAATATGTATATAAAATAAATGAAACAAATTCTGTCACTAATCAAATCTATTCTTAGGGAGTTACAACTTATCAATACATTTGCAAGCTTTTTTTCCTTAACATTGTTTTTCATCCTACAAATGTCAGTGAGGAAGTTGTAATTCTTTTGTTAGATCCTAGCACAGTTTTTGCTATACTGCTTAACTGCAACAGAAGCACCTTCGAGATTACTGCCAATGAATTTTCATCAAGTTAATTAGTATCCTTGATGTAAATATTGTTAAAAGAACAGAAGAGAATAAAAAGGGTTGGTCTAAATTAGTGCGCCTGCCTGTCGATATGCCCTCCAAAAGTTGCAACCAACTTAATGGAATGCTCAAGAAATTAGTTTCGTTCTATATATTTTACTTTCATCCTATATGTACATCATCCTATATACATATATATTGGGTTTGTCCTATGTATCATTTTTGTTCTCTATTAGTTTCGTAGTTTATGAGTTTTGTCGTATATAAATCACCACTGTCATTTAAATGTTCTTTGTCCTATTGGTTTCGTACTTCATGTATTAGTTACGTTCTACGTATACTTCTTTCGTCCTTTTAAACATATTTGTTTCGTTTTAAATTTATTTCACTTTCGTCCTTTATATATTAGTTTCGTTATATGTATATTGTGACTAAACGAGGTGGCTGCGCACACTTGTGTTTAGTCTGGGTCATTAATAATTCAGGCTGTCTAAATCATGCATTAAACATGCCGCGGCAACTAATCAGAGGCGCGCATTACCTTAGGGTCTTGGTGCTTGCTACGTGGTTGCCAGGACTTCTCAAGATGGCAGCGTGCTAACCAGAGCTCTGTGGAGTTGTTTTGTCTTATGAGTTTCGAGTGTAAATCTGACGTACGACCGCTGGTGGTTGGGGATCTACTTCAAGTGCACCTGGTACGATCGGTTAGTGTGGTGCTTGTTCTCAGTTGCCGGAGCTGCTGATTATGTCAGATCTCTTTGAAGATTGGAGAATCGTTAGACAATCTCGTTTATTTAAGAAGTGGTAGATTATAGGGTTAGGGAACCCGAGTGAACCCGATAAGTGGGGAATTAGCGGAGCTTAGACGAGACGGATTGTGTGCCGTTGTTCCATGATTGGTGGCATAGCGACGGTTGGTTGCAGTCCTGGTCTGGGAGCTTGCTTTCCTCGTTGAGGTTTACTGGGTGCAGGTTTCCGTTAGAGTCTGGTGAGGACTATTATAATCGCCTTCTTAGTCAACTTACCTGTGTTATTTCATAATAACTTGAAGTGGGTGAGGGTTATTTAAGTCACCTTAAACCTCTTTGCAGTTTGGGAACTGTGTTGCTTTGTAAGGCAGTACAGATTATTGTTGTATAAGTCTACCCTGTTGTGTTGGATAATTACGAAGGTTGTATTTGCTTGTGCGGTCAAGACTTATCAGTTATAAGCCATCGGTAGATTATTTATTAAGACTTGAGGGTTACCCTGATCACTGTGAGGGTTACCTGGCTATTGTGAGGGTTACCCTGATCGCTGTGAGGTTTACCCTGATCACCCGTGAGGGTTATTCTGGTGTAAGTTAAGGATAAGGCTGATTAATCACGTTCGTGGTGCAGTTGACCACGTAGGACTACCTCCCCCTGAGGATGATTTTGTATAAAGTTAATTGCTGTTGTATATAACGGATAACTGAGTACTGACACTGAATAAACCAATCATATAATTGCCGTAGAAATCACCGTGAGATTTAGTCAGTCCTGTATCACTTGTATTGACATTAAGTGTAATTTTTATTGACATTGGGATCAATAACCTAATCACAGAGCAGTGGTAAACTTCCACCAAACGAACAGCCCCAAAGGCATAGTCCACCGTTAGTTAACTGATATCCCCCTTGCGTTTAGATAGCCGCTCATTCTTGCGTAAGGTTAAATAAATATATTTGTGGGGTTAGGCCAGGTCAATTCCATCTCCGATCAGACCAGTCTGCTGGTCCGCCACAAAAAGGTGTCAGTTGTCCCGCCACAATATATTATTTTGTTTGGTTTTGTTTGTACTAATAAAGTCACAAAGAGCACCTCGTAGTCCAGGCCAGACAGAGAAAATTATTTTCGACATGTCTTCTTTAAAATTGTCCCTTCAATTTTTAGTGGTTTGACTGATGAATTTTTGAGAAATTCTCACCAAAAGCAAACCATCCTTAGAACGAAGGACACTTCACTGCCCGAAAAGCAATTTTGAAAATGCATCACTCCTAAAAACTGACAAATAGTGCCACTTTTGGACCCGGCGAGTGCCTCCAAGTTGCTCAGAATTGGAAGCCCTGAGTCCGGGCCAGCGGTCCATAGTCATATTTCTTCAATTCCCCGGTTCCATGGCTCTGAGGACTCTCTAATATAGAATATTTTGAGTCTATAATTTTCATTAATGAGCTTGGCGGACATATTTCTGGCCTACATTTGCTAGGGGTGCATTCCACCAAATGGTTGTATTTCTGGGCGCGAGCTCATTAATATTTTGTGATCCCACGGGATTTTTACAATAAGACAGACCATAACCAGGAGGGATCTTGGAAATATTTCTTTAAATCCCGAATTCGGGACTGATAATTTCCAGTTCGGGGTGTTTCTTTCACCAAAAGCCCCAAATTGCGGGCCTATTTTGGATAGAGGCGGGCGGCTACATTCAGAAATGAGCGCTTAGTTTTACTGCTATTTTGGGAGTATCTTCCTTGAAATGCGAATAAATTTTTTTTCATGGCTAACCCCCATGAAATTGAAACGAAAAGTGATCTTCTGGCTATAATCTTGAATTTCCAGTGATAAAAACGGACGTCAACCTCTTCACGAGAGTCAACAGGCGGCGCTATTTCGATCCGATTTTGCATGTTTTCTATGGCCGCGTATTTGGTGTAGTGCAACCCTAGGGGTCCAGTCCACTAATTCAAACCCCATTGAAAACTGTAAAATCAGCACCGTTCAGGGCCCAANTTTACGGGTTAACCAATTACATTTTTAATTATTCCCACAAAACAAAATCACCCCCCGAAAAGTGATTTTTCCGAAGTCTGATTGCAGCCATTTTTCAAGTGGCAACCCTCAACTTTCTTGGGCACTTAGGACCATTTTTCAATCGTAGTTTTCAGCCCTTCTGCCCTCATATGAAAGCTCAAAGACCCAGGGAGTTGATCCTGGCGACGATTTACACAATCTCACCATTTTGGGGGCCAAACAATCTCCTTTTTCAAAAGATACTGTGTGGGGAGCACTTTTAATGCTAATGAGATGGTCAGAAATTCTCACTTGAATTAGTGGTCTACACCCCTAGAGTGCACTCTCTATTGGAAATATGTAGCGGAAACGTGCAGCTACCATAGAGTTAGATATAATGAGCTTGACCCAGCTAGTCGAGTTCTGGATGACGCCACGGCCTATGCATTATTTGATTGGCTGTTCTACTATGACGTAGTGGTCTCCGACGCGCGTCCATTAACTCCCAACACGTGTTAATGTTGGAAAAGTGAGTCTTCGCGACGCGCACCTTTATGTCGGATGATGAGTAGAAATACTCGCAACTAAGCGCACAGTCTAGTTGCAGGCCGGCAGGAAGTGCTTGATTAATGTCGACAAGAGGGCAAGCTTTGCCGTCTTAGCCTTACTCACATGTCGAAAGTGATACTACACGTACCATGTAGCTACTGCTGTTTGTGCACCGCTGCAAAATACCTTTCTGCTTCATCAAGTAACATGAAGCCCTGACACGGTGACAGGCTGACACGAATAGACAGGATCTCAACATTGGCCTGGATGTTAGATGACGAAGTACATGATGTATTCCTGTTTCGGTTGGTCTGTATGACATGTGATCGGTGTACGAAGTCAATTCCTACAACCACTTAGGCTACTGGGCAGGACACAAGAGCCAAAACCACGTTCACGCCTCCGAGCTAAGCCTACTGTCTTGTGTGGGCTGACAAGAGTATTCAACATGGCGTTGCAGTACCAGCTTAGCACTGACGAGCAGATATGGGTAATGATCCGTGTGAAGCAGGGACTTATGCCAATCGAGGATGCTCTGGAGTATGTGCGAAAACAACACGAGGAAGCAGGTCTTCCACCAGTTGTGACCCAATGCCATACATATACAAGCCCTAGCTCACCATCTACATCGCCAAAGGCGACAAGGGCTCACTCTCATAATCCATGTCAACAGGTAATTGCATGATTCAGCAATGTCATTCCAAGCTAGCACTGTTCAGTGCAATTTTGAGTTTTGCCCAAATTCATTGAACTCCATCATAGACTTATTTGCCTTTGAATGAAATGTATTCGTAGGATAATTATAACTCGAGAGGGAGTGCTGATAGTTATACATATGCGTAACACAGCAAAAATTTCCCCATTGGTACTGTAACAGATAGGCACAGTGCTAGAACGATGTTCATTGGTTGACCCAGTCTTGCATGTGCTTCGCTTAGCTGGTGATGTCACAGTGACCTCATGGCAATTACACGCAAGCTCATCATTCGCACTCACCGATGCACTGCATGCATAATGCTGGAGCAGTTTAAGCAAGTCAACAACAGCTACATGATGTATGTCTCGATCTACACACAGGCATGTACGTGCGTACGACCACGCTTGTAGGGCTTATCAAAATTCCATATCGATCTTGCATATTCATGCGGTACATTCAACACCCTCGTCCCATGTCTACCAAACGTACTGCCAACGATTCCCTAATTCTATCCCGAACATGTTCAGCCATTGGCGCGGTTTCATACATAAATAGCATTCAAAATATAACTTAGCAAACCTACCTTGCCACCAGGGAATCAGCAAGGTGTCGGTCCTCAGTTTCGTGGCGAAAACCATGCCGATTTTCAAAAAAAGATGCAAATATTTCCTGATCAGCGTCCAAGGATCATGCGGTTCACATCCCTGTTCATGCCCTGTTATTAACATGTAGAGGCTATGGCAATAAAAGGCTTGTTTCTCTGTGGGGTTCGTGGGAGTGGAGCGGATGTCAGACCCAACAGTTCTAGGGGTAATTGATGCACTGATTGGGCATGTACCATCGGGCTAGACCTTACCTTTTTATGGGTAAGGTTAATTGGCCTGAATGCCTTAAATATGTTAGGGCGTTGGAACCAAGTTGAAGGGCACCAAGGCCAATTCAAAATTTTATGTAGAAAAGATAAGATTTTGATTAAGTACCTTTACACAAACACGTATGTATTGCACTGCTTTAGTCACCTCCCACCCATTTCTACTTCGCCTCTAACCACAAACAGAATCCTGAGTCACTGTTCTGTGTGGCTTGCAGCCCTACTACTTTCTATGGGTTCATAACTCTGTGGGTTCTTGAATGCAGCCCAGTTACATCAAATCAGGGTACTTTTATGTTGAAAAAAATCTCACTTTCTCAATCAAATTCTCATCCAAAAAGCTGTTGAAAATAATGCATACATTGTATCTTTTTAAATCTGATAACCTGCGGTTTTAAGACCATACAAGTGACTATATCTTGAAAAGAAATTGGAGCTTTTACTCACCACCCTCTAATTTTTCAGACAAAAATGATCCAAACAGGTTGTACACTTTACATGATTCACACAGTGCACGTGTGTTGGGTTAATGGTCAGTCAGTACTGCCTGGTAATGTGTTTGTTGTGTTTGTCAAATTCTCTGTAGTTCAGTCTTTGAACTGTTATTAAGGGAGAAAAAAGGAAAATAAAAAGAAAAGCCTTTTTTTTGGTTTCTGTCTTTAAAAGTCAAGTCTGTTTAAAAACAGATACACAAAATTAAGTTAACAGCTCAAACATTGAAATACATGTATATGAAATGATTAAATAGAACAAAAGACTACAGGGGAAACTTTGATAATGTTTCTTTCATTATTCTAATTTTATTATCAAGTCCATTGTCACTATAGTGTCAATCCCCACCAAACAAGCAGGGCTTGGGTGAAGTGGAAATTCC